AATGTTGGTGGCAAGAGGACAATGACGAGGACAAGCCGGTCAAAAGACCGAGCGCGCGCACGCAACGTTCTGACTCAGGTGAGAAAGCCTGGTGGCTGCAAGATGATGACGTGGCAGAGAAAGTACAGAATGGAGTCATAAATAATTTGAGCACAGCGGAATTGAATGAGGTAGCAGCAGACGAAGCCAGAGGACGAGATTACGCCGACACAGAAGTGCAACATATTAATGGGCACGTAGCTGTGGCGCAACAACAAAATTTTGGCACCGAACTTAGTAATTCGTTCAATTTCGAGTATTCAGAACGACCGCCACCATTGGGACAATGTGCCAGCCCCATTGCCCTTGAGCAAGACGCCCCTCAAATGCCACCGCAACCGCCTACGCGCAATCTAAATCAATGCAAATCGCCTTACGATAACATTCCAATGTCGAAAGTTCAAATGAATCACTACTATCAGCCCCAATACTCAACTCAACCACAACCGCCCACAACACAATCATCAATACCACAACAATCACCTTACTACCACCACCAATCACAACAACAGCAACAAGCGCAACAAACAAATGATTACTACACTCCGTATGCCAACAATAGCAGCAGCTACAGCAACAATGTTGGCAACATCAGACAAACGTTTGGTGGTGAGAAGCTCTTCATATCGCGTCATCAAAATATCGATGAGCTTTTGGGTGGTTCGTGTCGTCCATTAAGTCCGCTCTTCTTGGACGGCAGCAGCACCGCCAACAGCTTTGCCACAGTGCCGGCGAATCGCAACGTCTTCTTAGAGGAGATCACACCCGATCAAGTGCGCATACACGATAGCACAGCGCAAATGCCGGTGATTCAACGCATGGAGAGGTGAGTACAAGTACTGGTAACTAATGAGCACTGCTGGTATGAGTGTGGTGTATGTTGAAAAGCTTATCGATGTTTGGAGGTTGGTGTTTGTGAGTTAATGAATGGAAATGGCAATGCAGCTTGTGTTCTGTTTCAGTTTTTTTCTTTATTAATTTATTTTTTATTTTCGTTTCTTTTTCTGGATATTAGGGACGAATGGGATAACTATGGAAGTGGAGGTGCAGCACAACCGATACCGTATTATGAGCAGAAAATGGTGAGTGGAAATAATTTTGCATTTGATTTCGTACTGATCTATTGTGTGCGCGGGTATTGAGTTAAATTTAAGTAAAATATGAAATACTAAAAATTTCTCTAGAACGGTTGCTATGTTTAATAATAATAATTAATGTTCTAGGTGTAGGTATCCAAAGAAAAATTATTGCCGGAAGTGGGCATTAAATAATATTCGTGTAAAGACATTGAATCTGTTCCCACATAATATTTTTTTAAATGGCACAAATGTTTTGTAATGTCAATGCCCAGTGAAATTTGACTAGAGAAATAAGTTTTATTCATCTACTTCATTAAAGTAGTTTTTGTGATTGTATACGTGTTTTAGGAGTTGAAATTATATATATTTAATATTGCTTCCGTTGGTTTAGTGCGCGACCGCCATTCATCCATCGAATGACTTGCAGCGCCCTTCCTTCTTGATGGCTGTAAGCAGTTCGTTCACGGCCAAGAAGGGGAGATAGAACTCCACCTAATCGACACTGCCACTAGATCGGCTTGCACTACCTGATTTATTCTACAAGCGTGCCCAGCCCAGAGTCAATGCTCAGATCCATCAGCGCTTTCGAACTTGATGAGAACATGATGTCGTTGAAGGTGTCATCGGTATCTAGGATTGTTATCAGGTTATATGTATTTCTTGAAAGCCATTGATATTGTAATATACCATTTTATGCGCTTTTCCCGGGGACTTTTCCTTGGTATAAGCATGCTGTGCCGTCGCAAACTTGTTCGCGGCTGCGTCCTTTAAATAGTGCTTTATAAGCCGAACCTGCGTTTTTAGTCTAAAGGGCAATAAACCTAAGCAGGGATCACTCGATTTGTACATTTTCCCAGTTACAGCGTGGTGTTATTCGGAAAGTTGCTATCGAGCTGAACTCATTATGTCTACACTACACCTCTCCGTGACTGCCAAAATGTACAAATCTGTACCAATGCACAAATTGTATGACACTTGGAGTATGGGTCTGAACTCAAAAGGGTAGAGTTTATGTCTGATGAAACTAACTCTCAAATTTTTGGACTAAAACTCTTCTGTGCCTATTCGGTATGTGGTTAAGAGCAAGAACTCTTTCTTTAAAAGCACACAGCTATTTTTGCTACATTCATGGAATTGTGGCAGTTGGATGAGTTTGACGAGGTATTTTCCTCGCCCTAACGCCGTGAGAGGGAAGACCAGTATTTTTGCATGTATTTATAAAAAAAAAAATATTTATTGTGCCAAAAATTAGTGGGTAAGCACTGTAGCCAATGGTCCGCAAAAAACTCCGAAAGCAGTGTCTGAGCATGCCATCCAATTATGACTTAAGAAAGTTTTATTACAACGCGGTTGAGAAGTGCGTGGCAAAAATCTCAAAAATTTAAAGAAGGAAAGTACATAGAATGCATTTAGGCAATTCATGTTAGTAGTCTCGCCTAAACATTGGGCATAGCTTCAAGGTTTCAATCTGCTCTTTGTAGATAATTTGTTCTTTCGCTAACAGTTTACGATTTACTATGGGTTGGCCCTCCTTTTTTGTAGAGCATCAAGCTTATTAGTGGCACCAAAATGAAAGTGCCTCCTCAGTAGTGGATCCAGCGCTTCTTCCCCTGTCTCTGTCCATCTGCATTCATGGCGCCCCGGAGAATAACTTTCTAGGTCTACCTCAGTCCACATCCGTGCAAAAATCCCTTCATTACTCTACTAATCCTTGCTGCTTACTTTAGTAAGGATTAGACGTGGATTAGAAACTTAAGCCACTTAACAGTACCAAAAGTTTTTAGTTTTTGAACTTTGAATTGTCTCCTTGTTGCAGAGGACCATCGATGTGTACATATATGCATACATAATAATAAGTGTGAATCAATACATATTTACATACGTATGTCCGCGTGGCCGAAAGACTTCTGCGTATGGAAATCGAACAGGTAGTTCATAAAATTTTTTTGTCGATTAATTTGGATGGGTGCCAAATTGCTTACAGAATTAAAAGAATGTATAAATCTTTCAAAATATGACACCGCGATTTAAAATACAAACATTTAAAGGAGGGAAAGAGTGAAGCTGAGTTAAATAAATTAATTGAGCAGAATCAAAATTGCCAAGATTTTCTATAGCAGCACAACAAAAGCGTAGTCATTGCGTATAATTGTAGAATAAAAAATTACCATTAACGATCGTCAAAGGTCAGAGAGCTACGCGCTTGCACATCAGCAATGTAGTGATAGTATTTTTGCCTGCATATATTTAGACATATCAACATACATACATACATGTGTACATACATGTGACTCACGCACGCACAACATTTCTGGGATTTCTACGCTGGCTGATTGCCTCTTCTGCTGCTGCTGATTCAATTACGCAAAGAATTAAAGTGAAGTGAGATAGAGGACTTGCTTTGATTTCTCTGAACTGTGGGGCACTTGCGCGAAATTTGTTTAACAGTCACTCAATTTGACACTTCAATTTTTCTATTTTATTACTTTATTATCGCACTGGCATATTTTATTTTAGGTATTGCGATTATAACGGGTGATTTTTTTGAGGTTAGGATTTTCATGCATTAGTATTTGACAGATCACGTGGGATTTCAGACATGGTGTCAAAGAGAAAGATGCTCAGTATGCTTTGACATTTCATCATGAATAGACTTACTAACGAGCAACGCTTGCAAATCATTGAATTTTATTACCAAAATCAGTGTTCGGTTCGAAATGTGTTTCGCAAACCCAATTGCTGCGAACGGCGACGAATCGACATTTCACGGTCTTCAGCAACACTCTCAGAAACAGACGCAATATTCTCTTCTGTACGCACTGTACGCATTCGTGTGGTTGGTTTAATGTCCAATAAAGTAAACTGAGTGCGAAACTTGGTCACAATCGCATTAATTGTTTGCTCACTTGGTCGATTATGTAGACCATAAATCGGACGTAAAGCGAACCGAACACTGATTTTGGTAATAAAATTCAATGATTTGCAAGCGTTGCTCGTTAGTAAGTCTATTCATGATGAAATGTCAAAGCATACTGAGCATCTTTCTCTTTGACACCATGTCTGAAATCCCACGTGATCTGTCAAATACTAATGCATGAAAATCCTAACCTCAAAAAAATCACCCGTTATATAGAAAATATGTATGCAAGTACTTACTCGTATGCACATTTGTATATATGTAACTACATACATACATATATTGCTATGCGCATGGCTATTTAATATTCAAACAAAAAATCTTTCAAAGTTGAATGTACTTTTGGTTTTTATGTTCTTTGATTAAATTTACGAGGCGAAAATATGTTTAATTTGAACGAAAACAAAAAGGTTGGCAATATTGACAAGGCAAACAGTCGGCATATTAACTTTAATGTTTGTATGCAGGGAAATGCAAGAATGCGCTCAAAAACAAATTTACATGCTTATTCACGTACATACATATATAGTATGTATATGAGCAAATCGTACGACCTGTTACATTTTTCGGCAAAATCGCTTTTTGGTCGAAAATGGAGACACGCTTATCTTGGAAAATGCATTATCTTCAGAGAGGAACAAGAGTTCCAACGCGAAATTGTATTTAAATGAAAAGTTGAAAAATATATAACTACTAAAAATAGTAAAAACAACCACTCGTGCTCATATGTATACCCGTAATTGCGTATGTAACGCATACGCCCTGTAGCACCACACGAAGTCATATGGGTGTTTCCATGCAGCCGTACGCGACATTTGTACGCTTATGAAGTAACATAAATCTCTCAAAAAGAGAAGTTACTGAAAAACAAGATTGCGGTTATGTTGCAACCCAAGGCTACTATGTTTAAGAAAAATATAAGCAGCCTCGAAACTTTGGTGTGGAAATTACAAGGTGATAACGTACGCGACAAAAAAAGAAGTGTTTTTAAGGCACATATATGTACATATATGCGAAAGTCTGCGAATCATGGGAGTTTTTCTTTTCTTTAAAAATTCCTAAACTAAGCTAAATAATGTATCTTTACAATCCTTCCATTTTTTTTAATAAAAATTATTTCTGGTTAATTTTTATTAAAAAAACATAACAACGTACGATACATAACGTAAGCGACAGATTTTTCCCCCCTATACAATATTTTTACTAGTAACACATACTAAGTAAAATTTTTAATTTAATTTTTTCAGTTCTTCTCTCCACCGTTTCGCGTTTTCAAAACCTTTTTCCGCCATCTGAATACGAAATTTAAAGTTATAAAGCCGTTTGAATTCATTTGCTTGCATTTTCGGTTTACATTTTCATGGAAAGACCCATATAACACGTTTGCTCGCACGCCTTGACTTAATATGGCTTATATTATTTAAGAGTGATTAAATATTGCCGTTCGAGATTTTTTCACAGTATTCCTTATGTAGATATGTACATATTAATTTTTTCAAGTACATAACAATTTTAGAATGAATTTCGATGGATGCCAATAAAAGTTTTAAAATTGGGATTTTAGATTCTCAAATCATAGTCACCTTTTACCCAATGTAATTTTTTTCATTTTTATTATATTAGACTCGTTCGTTCGGGAAAGAAGAACATTTTCATCGTTTAATTTCGTGGTAAACTTGTGAAACTTCACAACTATGTTGTATTTGATACCAACATTTATTGCCTCTAATATGAACATTTTATTTGAAAGCTTCCCAAAGTTATTAAAAAAAACATTAGGATTTTTTCTAGTGACAATGAAGAAGTGAGCAATTTCGGTACTTTTTCGCTTAAAAAAATATTTTAAGGCTGAAATTGTTCAAATAGTTGATTTTTTTATGCCACTTGTTTCTGGAATATCACTGATTGCAATAAATGCAAGAATAATGCTTTAACGTTTTTTTTTTCTCGCGAGAGAAGGGAGTGGACACTAAAAAAAAAACAACTCGTGAGATTTGCTCGTATACACAAATTTTGTTACTTTGGCGGTTCTTTAGTTGGCATTTCTCTTAGTTTGGTAATGATCTTTCGCAACAGCTGATTTATAACAATTTTATTATATACGAGTGCAACTAATATTTTAACCCTTTCATGTCTGAAGTTGACTATAAGCAACGTCGAAATTTTGGCTTATAAATCTTGGTTTTCGAAATATTTTTTCTAATGG